GAGGCTGAATAGGGGCGCCTGAGGTGTGCCCTGTAGGCCACTTTACTTCCAGGAGCAAGAGTGTTGTCCTTGTTACTCTTCCACATATCTAGGTGGATGGGTGAAGAGTTAAGGTATTTTAGGAGATATTTTTAAATAGCTGTGAGAGTTTCCGTTTCTTAGCTTTTGCTTAGACAAATTTTTAGTGATGGACTTGGAATTTTGCCTCAGCAAGACCTGAGTACTCTGGGATTTCTCAAGATTTTTTCTTTTCAAAATCTCAAGATTTTTTTCTTTTCATAACACTTACTATGGCTAAAGAGGGAGAAGAAGTCTCAAGGGCTCCATTTGCTAGTGTGAAGCCTGCGTCCTTTCTCATTCAGGGTCACGTAACTTCCCTCCAGCATTTGCAGGAACTACTCACAAAGAAAAGTGATACTAGGACAAGACTGTACTATTTTTAGCTTTCAGTCATCTCCTCCTGTCTTCTTTTTTCTCTCTACTGAAAAAATGAAAAGCGCTACCAAACGTGGACCTTTTCCTGAGCTCAGCAAGTCTCAAGAGGCTTGCATCTGGCCTCAAGTACCTGCCCGTGTTTTACAGGTAGCCATCACAGGCTCTGGCGGTTGTCTTTTGCCATGCTTCAGAGGTTGGGAAACTCTGTAGCAGACCAGAAGAAGATTTTACAGTGTGTGTTTACTGGAGAATATTTTAAAGGAAGTACCGATACTTCTCTAACTGCTTGAGTGCATGCACTCCCATCAGTGGCAATGACACTGCCTCTGATTACAAGCAAGGAAAGCAAAAAGAGGTCTGAATCTGGTTCAGGAAGCCTTCAGTTTTCTGAGAGATTCAGCTAGGCTCCAAGTTGCAGCTCACATCCCATCTCTTCATGTCAAGATATGATAGAAGCATGTAATAAAAGCATACTCATCCTGTTTTGTATCAGCAGGACTTGTAAAATAATTAGACTGGGTTGCACAATGTGCAAACATGATATCAAACTAATTCAGACTGAGCTTTCACTTCAAGGGCATAAAAGAGCACCAAAGTTATTGAGGGAAAAATCACATTTGTTCCTTTTCATACCAAGGACTTCAAGTCCATAGGATGTCAAGTGATGAGATGAATGTTGTCTTTCTGCCAATTAACTATGTTTTAAGTGGCAGTTGAGAAGATAGAGGGTTTTTTACCTCCTGATGACTAAATTCAAGGTTTACTTACAGTGACAAAACTCCCAATGTAATTATATTGTAGCCACTAAAATCAGTCTAGATTTCTTTAATGATAAATGGCAAGCAGGAAGAGTATGACCCATGTACTTCCCCATCCCAGGCCTCAAGACACAATGAACCCCAGTCGGTGTGTTGGTGACCATGCGTCCTTCTTTGTCCTGCCCTGCACCAAGTGATCTTAGCCTTGTCTTCACTACTGGGGACAGTCTGGTGTTGTATTAGAAAACGGTGAATCCAAACTGCAGCAGATAGCTTTTTTCTTTTCAGAAAATCAGACTTAATGTCAGAGGCTTTTCGCATTGTTTTTAAGTCCCTGTGATGTTAAGTTTGGTCCTGAAAACTTCCCTTCAGCTGGACGGCAGGGCAAATGGAATTGACCTCAGCTGGTCAGGGCACTGAGGGGAGAAGCCTTGCGTGTACTCCGCTTGCTTGGCACAGTAAGCTAAATCATGCTGTGCTCCTGATGGAGCTTCTCTTTCTCTCCTGCTGTTCCTTCTGACTCCTTGAAACGTCGATATTAAAGTAAAATCACTTTCTCAGCCTTCCTAATATTTTTCCCTGGGTACATCCATGCATAATCACTCCTTCCTTTGAGAGAGGACGTCTACCTGCTCGTGACCTCCTCTGGCATGTGTCCTGCCGTGCCTGAGGACCTGTATTGTGGGTGAGAAGGTGCAGCATACGTGTGGGGAGAGCGGCAGACCAGCACAAGTTTGGGAGAGAGCTATACAGGAGGTATTTGGCTTGGTTGTATGAAGTCTTTAATGGTGCATCCCAGGTCTCAGCCCAATGATAAGCGCCTCTCTCCTTCAGCCTTTCTGCTGTGCGTTCCCTTTCTTGGCTGCCTGGATAGAAAGAAAATCAGAAAAACTTCAAGAAAGTGTTGTGGTGTGTTTCAGATTACTAAGGTTAAGTGCTAGACGTTATCAAAATGCCTAGCGTTTTGATGTAACGTTGCATCTCGGAGAGTTATGCTGGGATAAACTAGGAAGCGTATAATTTGTTTACGCAGCAAGGCTGGTTTTTAGGCCTTACTTTCGTATTGCAACTTCAGACCTTGCTGATGCAGCAAGAGCCTGCTTCTGCAAGCAACTGCCTGCCTGGTGCACCCCGCTGGTGTCCGCAGGGGTAATCTGGGGGGCAAAACTCCTCTCACCAGGAGGTGCTTGTAAGGCTTGGTTTGCCATTATGATGCTGTCTGACTTTTTGGCATCTGAAAAAATCCTTAAGGGTTTTGCAAGTAAGTCTCTGGTTTTTATGAAAATAGGAGCTAGATAAGAGGAGAGGCCAGGGCTGCCCCATGCTGGACATAAGCTGGCTCCAACGGCCTTTTGGTCTTCGCAGGGGCAATCACTGTAGGGGAAGCTGTGGATGCATCCCTCCTTAAAACTCTGACTGCGTTGGGATCAGGGAATCTAAGATTAGGAAAATTATGTCAAAATTGCCAAAGTACTAAATCACAAGAGCTGTTTTCCATTGAAAACTAGGGGGAACATTTATTAGCAATCAGGTCATTTAAAAACCTGGCCCTGATATAACACACAAATGCTGTGCCTATGGAGTAAAAGAACTTCCCAGCTCCCGGGTGCAGATGTGCACCCCAACCTCCTCTCAGCTTATTGCTGGGCTGAGATCTGGGATGTACCCTGCTTTTTCACCCCACTCCAGCCTCCCTCTGCCTTGATTTCCATGGGAAAGCATGGGGCAAGTAGAAACTGGGGGAGCACTACCAGCAGCCCCATGATTGTGTGACTGAGGGGTGAGCACTTGACAGTATGATGTGGGGTACACCTACTTCACAGAATAGATGGATCCTTTAGGAGCAAATAAATTTTTATTGTTGTTTCACTTATTGGGGCTGAATGTGTTATTACTCTTTGTATAATGCCAAGCTTTGCCAGTACAGGTTTGGCTATGCTGGGGATGCTTTGCCAGTGTAATATCCTAGTATAACTGTCTCGATACGATTTCACTAACGTAGATATGGCCTAAAAAGGGTCATTTAATAGCAACATATTTTTAAGTTTTGAACAGGCCAGTATTTGCAGAACCCCATGAGATCCACCCCAGTCTATTCAAAGCATAGACCATTAAACTATTCATACTGATTCGTTGCAGATCTAAAAACCCCAGAGAAATGTTTAAGTACTGGAAAAAAGCACGTTTTGCAAATGTGCGTATATCTAGGTCAGTTGGCCCAGTTACTGTCCTGGACAAAATCATGAACAAGACCATAAGTAGTAAGCATTAAAGGATAATGTGTAATAAATGCCAGGCAGTGAAACAGTATGAAAAATACATCTTGACAAGGAAATATCATTTGTTTCTTGGTGGGATCACAACTTCGGCTGGTAAAGGTTACTGAGCCCTTGTCATAAAATTCTCAGTCACACATAACTGATCTAAATGTGCGTCTATCTAGAAATCAGTGGTGGCTTTAATAAATAGATTGAAACCTGCTTAGCTGAGAAGTCCAAAAGTGTGATTGTAATTGCTTAGCTGTGTTCCAACAGGGATATTTCTACTGGAATTTGCTCATAGTCCAGCTCTACCCAGTACCCTTTTTCCTATTTAAATAGTCTGTAAAAACCAAAATTATTATGACAAAAATTCAAGTCCAACAGAGCCCCCTTTTTTTATGATGGTATCTAAATTCAACCTGTATATTTATGATCTAGGCCTCATCTGTGTCTTGACCTGCTAGCTGGGCTTGTTGTTTAATCCCTGCTAGCTGGGCTGCAGTGCTCCCTTGCCCAGGTTTTGAACTCTCTGGGGGCAAAGAGCAGCTTGTTTTCTAAGTTAAGCTCGAATGCACAATATTTAATATACTGAGCAATGAGTCACATCTGAGTGGGACTTCGGTTACTGTTTCCTGGCAGAAATTGGAACTTCACTGCATAAATGCTTTTTTTCTTTTTCGCCTGAAAGCCGAATGCTAAGAGCGGTGAGGAGCTGCGGCTTCCCGGAAGTAGAGCAGCACTTGGTTTGACTCCAAAGTTGGTGGGAGGTAGTAATAGTAGCAGCACCTCCCTGCTGAACTTGGAGCCTGACTGCCGATGGCATCTCCTCTGCTCTGCTCAGGGAAACAGCGGTGAAAACTGCTGCTGGTGGGTTCCTGCTGATGCCCCAGACCCTGGCTCAAAGGCATTCTTGCTTTTCAGCTCTGATTGTGGCCAGAAGGTAGCCTGGGTCCTAATTTGCATAACAGCAGCCCACCAATAAACTTTCTGAACCAAAGACTGACATTAAAACCTAAACTCTGGAGTATGAAGGGTCACTACCAATTATTTTTTTTTTCCAGATCACCTTCAATACTTATCGTTATCATAATTCACAGTTGTTTTTTGTACAGGGTATTAGTAAGCTCTCAGACGTCTTTCCCACATGCATGCAATAAACTTTCTGGAACAAGATTTTCTACGCTAGTAATAAGATGTTATGAAGACAGAAGTTGTTTTTAGAGGTGAGACCACGTTCCCATCCTTATGCGCTAGTTTTATGTCCTGTCTAATAAGCAGTTCTTTTTTGGGTGAGAAACTTCTATATTAAAATCACATTAGTATTTTTGTATCATTCTGTTTTCTTAAGGAGAAGCCTCCAGGAAGGGATGACTTAGGCCACTAGTGGTTAAATTATTACCTGGATAAAAACATTGTTTTGATTAATGGTCATCTAATTCTTAGTTGTAAAACTAAGAACCTGTAAAAAAAGACAGTTACTAAGCAATTTGTCTGTTCAAGAGTTACCGAAGACTACTCTCTCTCACCATTACTTTTCTTCCAACAGATTTTTAAAAGCATCACCAATGAAGATTCAATCCAGGGACAAGGAAGTCGCAGACTGATAAGTTTTTCATTGTCAGGTAGGTCACTGCTGATGTGCAAGTTTTAAGCCCAGAAAGTGGGAAACTGAAATTACTAAAACCTTTCATGTACATGTGTGTATGTATATGCCCGTACGTATGCATTTATGCATGCTTTTTGCTTGTTGCTCTAGAAGTGACGCTGAGGCAGAGAATTAATATCTGTTATTATTACTACACTCTCTTCTTTCAATGAGAATTATGTGCTGAAGTGTCTTGTTCAAGTAGAGTTTGGGGCCATGTTAGGTTTTCCTGTTGATGATTAAATGTGGTGCTATATATGTAGGTCAGTGAAAGCAAGATCAAAGGTACGTGCTTTACTTACAGAGCAAAACATGATTTGTGGTAGTCCTCTGTTTCTTGGAGAGCACGTTCCACAGTCTTGGTCTGGACCTGAGGCAGATCCACACGCCATGGTGCACAAGCTTGTCTGTATTGTTCAGTAGTGACTCTTGGACTTCTTGAGCCAGAAGACTGCTCTCGCTCCTCTAAACTTTCTGAAGGCTGTTCAGCCTCATTACTTAGCATGTCGCTGCAGGTTTTAAAAGCTTAATATGGTTCCATGAAGCAGTTACAGACCATTTGATCTGGCTTTGGTAAAAACAATCTGTAAATCACTTCTGTAGAAAAAAACCAGTTTGTCAAAAGAGTAGTTGTGAGCAAGGTTCTCATTTTGGAGTTTTATGCTTGCTACTTGGTTTCCCTGTTTTTTAGCTCCTGGAAGACAAAGAGAAAGATGCTGAACTTGACTTGGAAATTCTTTGAGGAAGTAGTACAGAGAAAAAAGAGTTACCCTCGTTCAAAATTTTTACAAGTATAGGCCTTTCTATATAAAGTCCTACGCTTGGACAAACATCGCATTACATGTTTGGTTCAGCTGTATGATTTATTTGAAGCTTCCCTCTAAGTTGTGTTAAAGTCAACTAGTACTTCTATATCTCTTTAACATTAAGTGTGCAAGTCAGTGCTGTTCCAAACTAGGGTGGTTCTTGAGAGGTTATATATGCTATATGGCAGGTTAGACTGACATTAGATGGGGCTCTTTTAACACATCGCTTTTTTTGCCAGGTTGGACACCGGGCACCCACCCAGTCACATTAATTTGATAAAACAATGGGTTTAGCTCAGCAAAAATGAAGAAGTAGAGTTAATATTTTTTAATGTTCTTAATCTTGCAGAGAAAACGTTGCCCAGAATTAGTAACATTTTTTCATTCTCTCAAATTCTTTGGCCTAGTAGACTAAGAGATGTCAAGAGTAATAATTTGTGAGACTGCTAAATAACGTTGTCTCAGTGGGCCCTTTTATAAACTAAACTATCTAATTTACAGCTTGATTCAAAGTATACAAAGACCATACCATGTAATACATTTGGGATATCTTATTCTAGTGGGTCACAAGCGTTTTGTGACTCATTTTGTGACAAGCTCATTTATATCACATCCATATTAACAGCATTATTACAGCCAGGTATTTGAAAGGCTTTGAGCTCACAATTATTTTATCAAAAATCTTTGGTATCAAAATAGCTCAGTTTCAGTCTTTCTGATATTAACAGATTAACATATCACAAGGATTTATTTATTACCTTCTTACTTAGTCAACAACAACAAAAAAATGTCTCTCTCAAAGTAAAATTATTGCTATTCCTATATCTGTTATGTTAGCTAATACAATGCAAATCAAGCCAGGTCTTCCAGAGGCATTGGAACGAACTGGGATTCCTTTCCGTTTGCACTACTATCGCAGCAATAACCTCTCTATTCTCATGAGCCCTTTCAGCTCATACAGACTTCTCCTTTTCGATATCTATATTTTGGTATATTGTCACCTTCAGTGTCATTACTTAAAAGTTAGGTTTCCAAATTATGACTGATTTAATTGCAATTAAGAAAAAAAAAGTATAGGACCATTAGTCTGACTGGGGACCATTGGGTTAGGCACAGCACCAACACAGAGTCCTCATATCCTTTATCATCTAAAGAATGCGAGAAGAGCTATGCCTTCTACCATATCAATTTTTTAAAAGAAAAAATTATTAGAATGGGAGAGAAAAATCTCGAAGTAGGCCAAATCCCTAGAAATGCTGAACAACATTGGTCCATTTCGGCTGACTTGTATTGCTTGCTCTACTGCCTAGACGCTCCAGTGAGACCCTATGTTAAAATGAACTGTGCAGAAACAGCTTCTTTCTAAAACTTGGTGACAAAGTGCTTTATTTCTGTAGTTTTGAGTATTTGCTTGGACAAAATCTAACTGGATGTTTTGCTTGAGAAAAGATTTCTGGATTGAATAAAAATGTCAAACAAAGAAAAAAGTGTAAACTGATGCTTCAGGGCAAAAGGAGATCGCTAGCTTCTTGAGAACAGAAATAGCTGAGAGTTTGCATTACATCAGTAGGTTTGTTTTCTTCGTATTTGCTTCTTTGGAGACTGGAAGTTGGTCCTGCAAAAGGCTAGTTCAGGTTAATAGGTTCATTAGCAACGCTGATCTCAAAGAAGATAATTTCCCACGATTAAGTTTCTTAATCGTTTATATGATGGCTGTATTATTACAGCTTTCATTATTTAAAATACCAAGAGAAATATTGTAAGCCTAATTTAGCTAGATTAAATACAGTGTTTAAGGAAAGCTATGCAGCCACTTTGCGTTTACTTTCCGACATGACTTTTCTGGTATTACCAGTGAATGTCATGCTTCTAATAAGGTGGCTGAAAGTATCAGAGCTCTCTCGCATGAAGTACAGAAAGAAGAAATGTGCTAAGCCTCCCAAGATGTACCAGCCACTTCACTGAAGGTTCATGGTTTAGCAGCAGTATAACACGTTCGCTGAAAGCCCTTGAAACCATTCTGTTGGCTGGTATATTTAGAAAGTGTTATCATGCGGTTTGCATGATATGCCTCCTAGCTATATGTCGCATCAAATAACTTTTTTCAAGCTTTAATATTTCATATATCTCATGTGTTTGCACACTCTTTATGTACAAGTGTTCTTGTGGAACAAATGACCAGAAGATCTAAGTATTTCCCAAACATTCAGGCATTTATCCTCATCACAACTCTCTCATAAATGTTGTTACTTATTTTTGTGTGGCTTTCAGACCAGACATTCAGGTAACATCAGTTGTCGGTTTATGGAAGTCAGAGTATAAATCACAACTGAAAATAGTATTAGGTCCACTAAGGGTCATTTTGACAATAGTCATTACCATGAAATGCTTGATCAGAATGCAGATATATAATATGCTTTACCTTCCAACCATTTTTTGAGATCCTAGTGACTGACTTTATAACAGGGTTCTAGCCACTAAATTTTGTTTGTTTAATATTGCTATAAACCTGCTGCTGCTTCAGCCCTCCCCAACTCACGCTAACTTGCCCAGATGTATTCTTTATAAACCTGAGTTGCTAATCAGTCGACTTTCTTGCCTGTCAGAGGTTGTGCGAAGGTGAGGTGACTTTCTACCACCTCCAGTACACCTGTGCCTTCAAAGTACTGCAGTGCTCTAGACTAACAGATTTAAAGGCCCTAAAAGGCTTTGAGTTCAACTACTCCATTATCCTATATAACACAGGCCACTTTGCTCCATGATGTCGAGCTTTGTGTGAGTTTGGCTCAGACATATCTCACAGACAGGCGTGTAGTCTGGATCTGAGGGTACCAAGAGATGGTACTTTGCTCCAGTGTTTAATCGCTTGCAGTGATAAAAACTCCCCCTCGCTGTGTCAAGCTGTTCATGTTAGCTGTTCAGACTTTCTGTGTTTTCCTTCTTGATGAAGACAATTAAAATGTAGCCTGTGTTTCAGCCATTTTTGAATAATTAATTTCTCCACTCCTTTTCATTTATTAATAGACTTGTTTTCTTCCTGATACCTCTGCTGCCCCTTCCTTACACAAATGAGAATCCCTTTCATTTTCCCTTGTAGCGTTTCCAGCTAGAAAAATTCTCTTCTCTTTTCCACTGTCTTTAATATTTTGCCTGGGAGTCTCATGTGACAGAAATGTTTTGGCTTATCTGCTCCACTTAGTAATTGTTTTTAAATCTCAGATCTTTAAACACCTCCTTGTGCAACTACACCAGCCAATTCTTTCTTTCTAACATTCTATTTTAAAAGGAAAATGGAGTCTGTCTATAAATCTGTAGATTTCTGAGAGTAGAAAGAACCACTTCAATTGTCTGTTTTAACCTCTTGCATATCACCAGTTGCAGAACCTCATTCAGTAGCTGATCAAGTCAGTAATCTATTGTACATTATGTAGTATCTTTCTCAATTCCCCTGCATTATTTTGCTGTGTTGGATTTTAAGACATCATATCACTGCACATTACTGTTTGATTTCTAAAATCCCTTAATATTTGCTTCTTGAAATCTAATACCAGATACAATACTTCTGTGAATCTGTGGTCACTTTCCTTACAATAAATTTTAGTATCATGTACTGCTGCATGAATCAAATTGGCATTTCCAAGCCAATGCAATATTGCTATGCTCTTACTACTGAAAGGTTATTATACTACTAATACTAAAATAATTTCTATTGCTTTAAAAGCACACAGCTGAGAGGCAATACCTATGTGCCTCCTGTTGAATCTTGAGCAAGCAGAGTTTTGTTGTTCCTTCCTTTGAAGCCATCACTATGTCTTAGGTATCTCAGCTCAGTATATGAACTGCTACCCCCTAAGACAGGTCCTACTTGTTCTGGTTAAGCTCTGCAAAGTGCACTCTACAAAAGAAACACTGACATATTAGCACCCTGGCAATTACCTTACCTCATTGGTAGTCAACCCAGATACCAGTCCTGTTAAAGTACATTTATTCAGTGCCAGAACCCAAGTTGATAGCTCTTTGGGAATTTACAAAGGAAAACTGAAGGGAATTGTTGGAGCTGTCCATTGACATCCTAATTAGCAACTCTCTTGTGGTGACGGATCATGAAGATGGTTTATTGTGCATGAACTTAATGAGCAGATCATAGAGAGAATACATCCCATTTTGGTATTCATCAGGCTAAATCACAATCTAAATTGACTGTTGTCTTTCCAGAGACTCTTTGGTCTTCCCAGTGTCCTGGTAACTTTGCAGTAGAATCATAAACCCACAGAATGGTTTGGGTTGGAAGGGACCTTAAAGATCTTCTAGTTCCAACCCCCCTGCCATGGGCAGGGACACCTTCCACTAGATCAGGTTGCTCAAAGCCCCATCCAACCTGGCCTTGAACATGTCCAGGGAGGGGGAATCCACAGCTTCTTTGGGCAACCTGTTCCAGTGTCTCACCACCCTCACAGTAAAGAATTTTTTCCTAGTGTCTAATCTAAATCTACCCTCCTTCAGTTTATAAACCGTTACCCCTCGTTAGTTATGCTTTTAGATATGTTCCTGGGCAAGTTTGGCCTAACTCAAGATGTCTTCATCTTCTCAGAGGGTCAGATGACTCATGAGGCATATGTATTATTTCCTGGTTCTGAAAACACATGGCTAGTATGCTAAATAGGAAAAATGTGAATTCAGTGAGTTGACCATAGAATTGCTGGGGCTTAATGATCTCTCTCACAAGTGTCAATATAGCTAGCTGCAAGTCATCTGTTGAAATCAGTTGGATGGTGCTTGGAAACATGACGGACATTAAGTACTTGTCCTTTGTTGGAATGAATTTGCCAACTGTATTAGAATATCAGTATCAGTTTCTCAATGAGCAGCGGAGCTACTAGTTTTGGTCTTTGACCCTTCTGCTGGTTTGTAGACTCTGTCTACTTCGGTGAAGTAAACTATGCACCATCAAGAGACTAGGTGGACTCAGTCTTCTTGGGACACATTTATAAACTGTGCAGAATATCCTTGTCTATTATTTCTAGGAAAGTTCTTCTAAAGCTGTTAGCGAAAGCTTCTCATCCCTTGGGGAGAACAGCTTCTAAATTCTTTAACTTAGAACTTAGATTGATGATCAGACTAAAAGTAATTAATTTAGAAACCAGACTGCTCCAGACTCTGGTTCTCGCTCTGATTCTCCATCCTTTTCTGTCATGCTTCTACAAGCATGGGTCTGGACCAGTCCCTTTCTATGTCTGCAGGGAACTGAAATACCATCTTCACAATAGTTTTGCTGATCGTTACCATCAGAGAATCTCCTTGCTGAGCATGACAAAATGTGACTTGCAAATCCAAATTGTACCTCTTCCCTGACCTTTTGAAAGCTTAGTTACTTTTATTGAGGCAAAATCAAACACAGATGTGTTCGAGCTGTGTCCGTCAGAATTGAAATCCCCACCTGGTTCCACATTTTGCCAATAAATACATGCTAGTTTCCAGATTGCCACAAAAATAGTCTTCATCACTCTCCAGTCATCAGTGCCCCAAAGTTTGTGATGCTGCGTGGAAAATGGATTTGCAGAATGATCCTTTAGAAGGCAGACAGGGAAGTCTATGGCCTACCTTAGGGACAGAGGCTACTTGTATGCAAGTGACCTAGAGCAAAGCTTCCTTAGGTCTCATCCAGACACCCAGAGATCAGCATATGTGGAAGGGAAGCCCTGAAGTTGGAAGAAATTCATAATTCATTTGGGGGCAGCAGCAGGCAGCAGTTACTATAAGACGTTTTTGTACAACAAAGTGAGCCTAGCTGGGTTAGGATGCATGTACTTAAAATAACTGAAAGTCTGCAGCAGTGAAAGAGTCTGTGGTTGCTGTGTCTCCACCTGGATTCCTTCCTTCTGTCATCTTTCATGAGAGATGGCCTGACATTATTAAACTGGTAGATATAGATAACCTCTTTCATGCTAAAGTGTGATTTATGAGTAAATGAGAAACTGACATATGGTATATTAATAACTTTTTTAAGAGACTGGATGAAAATACACCTTTGCAAAGCATAGATGGGTTATCTTGGTAGCATTTCCTTGTATGCCTCTAAGAAATACATTGTAAAACTACAGTGTACAGCAAGACTTATCTAAGCCTTATGGAATTCATTGGTTTCACCAAAGATTTAAATTCAGTTAACCTTAAACCGTCACGAAAACATTTAATATCTTCAGAACCTTTTTCTGAAGACAATACAGATGAGAGAAAAATATTTTCATTTGGGGAAGCAGAATAGCTGGAATTCTTCTGTTGGGATGTTACACAGCAGTGGTAAGAGAGTACCTGAGCCTTTGATTACAAAAAGTTACAGCATCCATATAGGTTCCACTTCAAATTAAATGGACGACTTCTGGATATCTGCAGATGCCCATGTAGCTTTATTCAGAGCTTTTGTATTTTTGATGCTCTGTTTTTCACAGTGCTGAGAATTTTTAGTGGGATATGTAAGTATAACTAGGGTATCTGTCCTTGAGAAATCTGTTTCCACTCTCTGTATGTGTGCTTTGGACATTAAAAATTGAAGTTTCTAACTGACATTTTTACAGAATTTGTTGTGTTATGCAATTTAAGCAAGAAAATGACACAAATGAAATTTTCTGTTGTGTGCTTAGCTAAATTATTTTTTCTCATCCAAATACAAAAATTAGACTACTAACTAAGGTTAGAAGTACCTTCACCTTCATGACTGTGCTTAATTCCCATAACTGGAAAGAGGCTGGTAGGTCATCATAATATGGATGTTCTTTATGATATATAATATATAAGTATATATAATTGAGTGCTAGTTATTTTCTTTTCTGTCTATCAATAGACCATTTCTTTGCACAGTGGTACCCAAAGATAGCGCGGTCTCTCTTTGAAGGAAACAAATCAGAAACATACACAGCAATAAATATTTCAGTTTCAGAATCTTTTGAGGAAACATCAGAGAGAAAGAAAGTAAGATCCCAGAGGTCTTTCTCTCCTCTCATATGTTAGCAGCCTGACACTATTACACTGCTGGGCCTTGTCATTCATAGTGCTTTTGCAATCTTGGTTTCTATTTCTGGAATGTATTTCGAACAGTACAACTTCCAAAGGAAAAGAGTTTGCCGTGTAGGATTTCAGCAGGGCTTAGATGAAATACATGCTGGTTACATAGAGATTGTACGCTCAGAAAAAAAAAATCAGTGTTACCAGTTTGAACCAGATAATTTTCTTTGTGTAATAGTGCTGCTAGGACCACAGCAGTGCATACTGTCAGCAAAGTACTTTCAAATAGGCTATTAGTAGTGATATCCTGTATTTTTTATTAATTGTTAGAAAACGTCGTAAGAATGAGATTCTTAAAATACAGTCTGTTTCAGGACCGTCTGTCCAACAGCTTTTGAATATCTGCAACATGGATTGTGTGCTGGAATAGACGACTAAAACCAACCTGAACAAAAATGGTTCTTTTTAACTTGCACATTTTATTGCGCTGGCTATTACCATATGTTAAGGAAGCAAAATACAACTGAGTGAATTCTTGATACAGCTGTTTTCTGGAAAAAATGCTGATGTTGGTGTGGAATGTGTATGATTTTCAGATTAATCCAAAATATCTGCCTGGAGGGTTTTACATGGTCTCCTGCAACCTGCCAGAATAATTGGGTTTTTAATCAGAAGAGAACTAAAAGACTTGAAAATTAATGTTTTCAAAACCTGCCTAAAAGAAAAAAATGTGTTTAAATTGAATGTTTAGGTATACATCGAAGCAGTTTTGGAAACTATCTTGACTAATACTTTGTATCTCTTCAATACAGCAAGAGAAAGTAGCCAAAATGCAGTTCAGTGCTTATAGCCCTATGTGAAATAAAGCTTTAAACAGAGGAGGAGAATCTCCATGCAAAGAGCCGTGGAAAATAAATTAGCTACTGAACTCGCTAATAGGAATAAGTGCTTATATTTTCCAAAGAAAGCTTAGAAATGCATCTGGAAAAAGAGAAGGCCAGAGGCTTTAGTTTGTAGCTGTTGAGCCAAAACTAATGATATATCTGTAGATTGGTTTGCATTTCATTGGCTTCACAGGGACAAATCATAATGGATTTTGTGTCTTTCTTCAGAACGTTATAAGTAAATTTTGAAATAAGTGCCTGGGGATTTTTTGTCTGCACGACTCATATTACACTCCCTGGTAGTTCTGCCAGCTAGAAAGCCCTGCTTAAAATTTGGACATTATATACAAGAGTTTTCCTAAGTTACTACAGGTAAAGTTAACCCATGCAGGGAAGGAAATGTTTTAAAGTAGAAAAAATGTAAAATTACTTCTTGTGTAGAAAAAAAGTGGTCTAAAAGCTAAGATTCATAGAAAGATAAAATTGATACCTAGGAGAAGTGACGTACATTGGGTACCGAATGCCATGTCTCTGTGATTAAATGAGTGGATCTCTTTTTCAGAGTAGCCCTGCCACTGGAGTCGGGCTGAGCAAGTGCTTAGCTCCTTAGAAAAAACAGCAGATTGCTTTAAGTTGCATAAATACTGATTTAGAAACCAGATCACTGTGCACAATCAGGTTGTAAAATTTGCAATTTCATTACATTACAAATGATTACAAATCATTTGTAAATCCTAAATCACAAGATCTTTATGGTTTGGCTTTACATTATCTCACAAGAAACATTGTGAGTTGTTTCATATTCCTGCCATATTATTTGAATTCCTTACCAGTTTCCTGTATGCTTCTCCTGACATCCCAGAGAGCACCTGGAATGTGAAAAATAATCAGGTTATTTACCTTCTTTCAGATTTCCAAGCTTTTGGTCTGAAGAAAGGAATGTTCTTCAATCCAGATCCTTACCTGAAGATTTCCATTCAGCCTGGAAAACATAGCATCTTCCCTGCGCTTCCTCATCATGGACAGGAGAAGAGATCTAAGATAATGTGTAATACTGTTAACCCAATCTGGCAAGGAGAGGTAAGCAGTTTGAGCGTTGAGCTGAGACTTTTCTTAAAACATGGAAATGACTCTAGCAATATCCCTCCTTTTTTTTTTTTTTTTTTTTTTTTTTTTTTTTTTTTAAATTCCTTTCTTGGCTAAATACTTTCTTGGCTAAATAGTTGTTGACCTAACTGTGCTTTGATGTATTTCATGACTTCTTGTCTTAATGCAAAAGGCTTAATTAGCTATAAAGATGAATGACACATTAAAACTTTCAGTATGGGTTGTACTTTGTGGATGTAATTTATGAAGTTGTTAATCATTGAAGGTAGGCATAACCCAGAATGGAAATATAAACTTGGATAGCATGAAAGGCTGCTGCTAGATTGTCATAGATTGTCATGTTCTTACACAGAGATGAGACATCATATAAAGCAGAACAAGTATAACATGCAAATAAAAAACCTATGTGATTGAAAAGTGTCAGTGGCAATATAAATTAAAGGCAACTTTGGCACATTTGCCCATCACCTTGAAGAAATACTCTCTAATCTGCTGCTGCTTGTTGGAAGGGCTTGGTAGGTATTAATGAGATCTGAGAGTTCAATTGCTGCCTGCTGTTTTTAAAGTACACCTGAAATGGCAACAGACAGCAAAGAATAAGGAATCTCTTTGGACCTAAAGGAGCCTAACACAATGGGTGTGATTTACTGGTGTTCCCTGTCAGACCAATATCTCCACTACAGGAAAGAGTAAAAGTAAATAAATAGACTAAATAGATGTATTCAAATTAAAATGCAAATTGTAAAGTAGTTTAGGGATAATTAGGTCAAACTGTATAGACATGAAAGAGTGAGTGGGGTAAAAAGACAGCAGAAATGTCACTGAATACTCCTACCTGGAGGAGGATAGTCAAGAAACTAGGTACCACATTAGGTTATGCGACAGGTGAGCCTGCGTGGGGGAAGTTACATGGCAGGGGCAGGGGGGATGACCTCAAAACTAGTCTGAGAAAAATGCCTTCTTACAGGACTTAATTAAGTGGAAGGCCCTGTCATGAGGCATCCACCAAGCAGTAACTTCTCTGTGGCTCCAAGCATCAGATGTATCTGGCTGAAGGGTCCCAGGTCAAGCTGAGGAGCTGGAACTAACATAGAGGATCAGGGATTTGGCAGAGATCTGTCAGTAAAGTGCATGAGACACAGACCTAGAGGCGGACAGGCATGAAGGGGAAATTTGCTGTATGTGTCACAGTACATGTGATTGTGGGAGCTGGCAGCAAGTGTGGATGCCAGGAGTTGACACTCAAAGGAGGACACAGGATATGAATGTGGTCCCACCATTCTGTATCAGTCAGTTAACTGCTGAGGTGGCACACAGGCTGTCCTTATCCAAAGAGGGATGTAGCAGCTGTGCTGATGGAGGCTGAAAATAGGCTTTTTAGAAGCACTCAATACTGGTCAGAAGTCTTCTCTTGACAAAGGCAACCCCCAGCCAATCTAATTTGTTCTCACTTCAAGGTCCTTTTGCACTGCTGGAGGATAAAATAACCAGAGAGTAAGAATGTGGCCCTGATAAAATGTCAAGGGTGGCTTCTCCTCAGGACATGCGGGATGGCTGAGTTTGTGGGCTGACATTCTCTTCCAGTGGAGTTTGGCAGCGAGAAAAGGAGAAACAATGAAATGGCCTAATTATGGACATCGGAAAGCAAAAGAGCATAGCTGGCTTCCAGCTTCTCGGTTCAGCCCCCTGGTTTTCTTGATTGCATGCAGCCACGCTGCTTCTCCTTTTCTGTGGCTAGCCTGTTAGTGGCTAAGGAGTCTAAAACAGCAGAGCTGTCATTCAGCATGTTCTCCTTCTGCATTTGCTTCAGCTGATATTGCGATGTTTACCTGCATGCGTTTGTGTTGCAGTCTATGCACATCAGCTGGGCTGAAGTCTTGGTTTTGGTACTGAAAACCTATGTTGGTTTCTATTGCACAGAAGACCCTAGGCCTGATTTTCTTCAACTTTGTCCCTTTAATGGGACAAGGAGAGAAGGAAGACTGCAAACTGTTGCTGAATCATGGTGGTAGCCATTCTTCTGTCCACCCTTTTCACTGATTGATGTGAATATATGAAGTGAAAATTATTGAGGAATCAGCCATTTCATTAAATGGATCAGTCACTAGCTGTTTTCCCAAAAAAGTATTTTAGGCAATATATTATTTCAGAAGGGTGATTCTTTTCTAAGGTTCTCTGTCACTACATGTAAATAGAAGCCAGATGTTTGTTTTGTTTTTGTTTTTCAGTTGAATGACATATCTAATTTGTTTTGGCTGCTAAACTTGAAAAAAATCTGGAATAGGGAAATAAAACTATAGAAATAGCTGCAGCCTGGGATCTTTATATATGTTCTTGATTACCCTTGAGCAAGTTCAGAAGTAAAAGAGTTGACTCAGTTTTATAAGGCCTCAACACCAAAATGAAGTCCTACAGACTGAGATGATTCATTTACTTATATTAATTCATTCTGGTATTCCCCTTCATATACTTACCAGGTTGTTCTATTTGCATAGTAACTGCTTGCATTATAAGAACACTCTGGGAGCACTGTGATACCTCAGGCAATTTTTCATCTGTGTCATGTAATATTGATGATGATCTTCATTTCACAGACCATTCGAACACTGTTCAGCACGAGTTATGCTGACTTAAAGCTATTCTTCCATTGCTGTGTTTTGCAGTACTTTGTACAAGAGGACATAAGGAAATGGAAATTTCTTACTAAGAGAGAAGAGTAGCATGGCACGTTTTGACACTTGCAGCAGGGCTCTGCGTGAGGTGAAAAAGCTCTCAATTGTTCACTGAGACAGGTTAAATCTCAGGTGGTATCTTCTGCTGGTAGAGACGGATCATTTTGTGATGTTTCTATGTTTTCACATGCTCACAGAAGCATAAGATCAGATTCTGCTAAGCCAAAGTGCTAAATATTGCCATGTGTAATAATGACGATAAGTACTTTGGGGGAGATCCAGATGAGCTACTGATGGTGCCTAGGCCTCTACAGGGTCAATGAGGAGAAGTAGGCAGCTGCAGAAAATGAAAACAGTAACAGCTGTCTTCAGACAGGGAACCTGTTACTGAATTAAGGTTAATGGTCCTGCTTGTTTTCTTACTCCTGGCTCTACTTTCAAACTAGTGCATTCTTCAGCAGCATCTGAACTGTTAAATGAGATTGAGTTAGTTCCTGGAAACCACATGCCACTGGACAGATTGACTGTAAACTCCTAGGTTAAGCAGACATTGTGCTGGCAGTCCACACAGTTGCAAGAGCATAGTGGGTGAGTTGTCCTACCATGCTGATTTGAGGTAAAATGCAAAGGAAATCTCGGAAGGAAGTGCCCGCTTCCCAAATCTTCCATAAGTCTAGTGGAATTGAGAAGGGTAAATGTTGGCCATATCTGTTCTAATATTGGTATTAGAAAAACAATGACACTATTCCCATATTGTTTCATATTGAGACATGTCTGCTGTCACATTCTTTGGAAAAAGCTCCTTTAAGAAGATTTAATTTGTCAGCAAGCAGTGAAGTGATAGATGGTTCAGACAAGCAATAGAGATCATTGGGGATCATAAGCAACAAAGCAAAGTGGTTTAAAAAGTAGTTCACGTACCTCCATCTGGTTAGCAAATTCTCTCGATGGTTTTGCAGACAAGGTACTTCAGGCCCCTGGACTTTCCCTTAGGCATATTTATGGTATTTCTTTCTTAACTGTGGCAGTTTGAGCTAATTGCTTCTTCAGTTTTTGTTCATTTACTAGGGAGTGAATAGAGAGCCTCAAGGAATGGGGAATGAGACAACTATAAAAATTGACTGTTGCAACCATCCAGCATATTTAAAGTAGTAGCAAGTATCATCTGTTAAATGACACATTGAATTTCAACTCTGATAATTCTAGCTCTGGAAGAGTAGTTTGCCTTAAAGTGGGAGCCCAGTACTAGGATAAAAGCTATCTCAACTCCCTGCAGCTTCGCTCTTTGTTTCTTTGCCTCAGCCTTTACAAATATTGTTAAATTATAGCTGAGGCACAAAATAGTGTGTTGGGTGGTTGCTTTATCACTCTGAAGATAGCTGCATTTCACTGCATTTCAATTAATTAATTGAATTAATGTACTGAACACAGAGGTGTTCAGTACTCTGTTGCAAGAGCATTTAACAAATAGTAGTTACTGTGTCAGATCTGATAAACAGAATTACGGTATTTTCACATGTGTAACTTGCACTCCCTGCACCTCAGATAACCCACAACCTTTCAAAAATACTGCAATTGAATAAATTCTCATGTAACCTGTCTCTTCAGATTACTAACAAAATCAGAAGAAGGAAACAGTCAAGGGCTTGAACGCCAGAGGGAGGTGGTTTGGGGAGAGAGGGCTTCTGTAGTGCAGACCATCATCAGTGATAGAAACGTTGGGGTTTGGATGCTGCCTGCAAGAATGCCAAGATGACATGAATGCAACTGACTGTCTGAATGCTGGTTTGTAACTGCTTTTCTTATGATACAGATTTATAACTGTAGTGATCGTGAATGCCAGACTGGTGTATGATGGACCACCCAGCAGTACTGGGACTGAAAGATGCTTTGTCAAAGTAGCCAGATCATGCAATATGGGGTTTATGTTAGCTCTCTGCTTCTCTTGAGGCTTTATGTTGGCTGATATGATGGGTGCTACCTGATGTAGCACAAACTTAGAGTGATATAAGCAGGGGATACTTGATTGAGGGTGAATCTTTCCAGAGCAAAGTTAAACCATTAAAGATGCTTTAATATATTTGAATCAACAGTATGAATTTAAACTAAAGCAGGTTATATTTGATCTGATTTTGATCTAATATTCAGAGCAGTAGATGCTGACAGTCCTACCATGGCCTCGCAGAATCATTGCATGGTTTCACCAGAAGTCCAAAATGAAAAAAGCAACAGGAACAACACACTGATTGAACTACTTACTTACTGTTTAACTTAGATAACCTTTTTTCCCCCCCTTCTTCT